CACTCATGGACTGATCATCATCATCCTATTTAAGAGCCAGGCTCTTGTCGGTGACTGATAATTGTAGTAATTTTACATTTCAAGACAAAGTGATTCTAATCCTACTGGATATTTTTATACATAATACACGGTTTTCTAATATATCAGTATTTATTATATTATTATTGTTACGCTTAAAAATATATCAAATAATTAAGAAAGTCAAAATGTACCCATCTATTACATATACGTTACGATATAATTAGAAATATATTCAACAAGTTGAATTAAGTTTAAGTCTTACTAATTAAGCTTGACGAGTGGCAAGTTGTGATATTAAGGGCGAGGACGGGCTTTGCTCCATCAGGGGCTCAAACAAATAAACGTATATTTTGTATGAATTCGTTCACACATGTCCGTGTGCGGGCCGGCGCCGAGACAGGCACGCAGTTCATACAAACTAGCACGCCCCGTCCACGTCCCGGGCACGGCCCTGATGTGTGTGGATAGTCCTTTAAAATACCTACTGCTCGGCTTTGTTCGGCAACAGCTGCAATTTTATACATATAAGCGGTTTGCTATAATTCTATGTAAATGTTACTATACATATAAGCAGCGTGTGTGTGATAAATAAATAGAACAAACAAATAAAGTGTTTTTATCAGTGATCATCAATGTAACAAAAATATAATAAAATTCTAGAATGCGATGCTTTTCCCCACATAGCGTAATCCAAACAAAATCCCCAAACGAGTTGTTGAGTTGAAATTCCCTGTATTTGGGAAATTCCCCATAAATTGGCAGCACTGCAGTTAGTTCAGAAAAAGTCTGACGAAAGAATCGAACGCCTATCGGACGTGTATTGAGTGAATCCGATCCAATAGTCGGATCCGACCATCAGACACGAAATCGGTGTATTACCGCACTTAAACGCATCTTTTCTGCAAAAATCTTCGACTTACGTTCGTAATGGGATGAACCATTCACTCTTTTTAAAGTCAAATGAATGTTAGGTTATATTCATTCGGTGAACAGCGAATTCACAAATTAATTAGAATGAACGAATTTGCACCGGTAGCTTTGCGTCAAAGAGTACATCTTTGCGTCTTGGTTGTTTGTTGGATTTTTTATTTATTGTGCTTTTGTATTCACCAATGGATCGAAGTAGTGCATTTTAGAGATATTCTTTATTGTTTGGCAGTACAATGATAAGCCGTAAGTTCTTAGTATTATGTAGCGAGGACGTTAAAAATTTTCTTTGTTAAATAAGAAGCTAAATGTTGCAGAAGGCAGAGGGTCTGCTAAGCGCAAGGTGAAGCCGGTGGAACCTCAATCCTTATTAGATTTCGATCTTGGTGAAGGCGAGAGTTCTGATGACTCAGACTTTCGCATTGAAGACCATCCGGAGGAAAGTGATGATTATTCTATCAACACTGACGATGAAAAGAGTATGTACAAGTGTAATGTTTTATATTTGTTAAATTCATTGTTTTCTTATCCCGTCAGTCGAGGTTAGCGCATACTCTTAATATCCAATTAGCCTATATAATATGTATTACATTTGCCTTGCTTCATTGTACAAAATTTATTATGACTTGTTTAATTTCTTAGTCTACATTACTAAATTACGAAAACACGAAACTATAATGGACTTTGTGGGTATGTCAAATCACCTGCTAATTTATGCTACCTTTATCCAATTGTAATAATAAAGACAATACAAATTTACATTAAATAAGTCGACATTGGTGTAGGGGCATTTTATATAAATGTAGTTATTAAGAAGCCTGTGGTGGGAGGTTGATATCAAAGTTATCCCAGATAGTTACAAAAATATGTTGTCAATCATGTATTTATGTTTACATGACCTTGTCCAATGCGCATGTTGTTTATATAAAAGGAGCAAATCTCTATAGATTTGTGCCTATGCATCTTCAGGTAAAACCTGTGATATGGATCAGCAGGCCTTCATTCTAATGAACTGATGATGTGACTGCTCTATGGTGTGAAATAGATGGATATGTTATTATCAGTGATTGGAATTGCGGAAGTTGATTTAGCTAAAGTAAATAATAATGTCGACATTCCCTTCTAAAAATCTCGGGACTTTGAACTTATTAATTATTTGAATATGAGTATTGTTTATTGGAATTTGAGTACATTGGTGACAAATTATTATATCCTATGAACCTTTTGCTACAAATTATTGTCACAAAAAGTAATATTGTAGTTGTTTGTGTAGGTACTTACATATTTAAATAGTCTAGCCATTTAAAAATAAACATGAGAACCTATATTTTGGATTGTTTAGAAAATAAACAGTAGAAAAAAAAATTATATGCATTGATATTGTAAAATGAATATGGGGATTTTTTTGTCTTATCACAAAATGAGTATGTCCATACTAAGAAATGTTTGAACATTTCTATGTATTGAACATATGTTCATTCAAAACTTTAGGTAATTTTTTTTCTTCAATTTCTATCACTGGTTATATACATTTATATTATATACATTTATTTTGGATTAAGTTTGGGTATTGAAAGTATACATTGTTTTGTAGAAGGTGGAGGCAAAAGTGGCAGTTCTGGGGAGGATTCTGGGTCAGAAGATGGTGAATTTAAACACTCATCCAACAAGCTTGGAGAGGAGATATCAGTCTTTGATCTCCTTGAAAGGGCTAAACAGCAGGAATTCAAGGTATTTTAATTTAAACCAACTGTTTCTTTGTTCAGTTACTAATGTCTCAAAAATACAGTAATCAAAGTATTTCTGTTTAATGGAATGTTTTTTTTTCTACTTGTACCTGTGGACATACAGTCATTAGGTAACTCTTGTACCTCCAGATTGACTGCAGATTCCCCATTGGAACCGTTTATAATAATTATGTTTGTAAGGAATGAAGCATCAATATAATTAAAGTTATAGACAGTGTAAATTCCTTGTAGATCCAGATCTTTGTAGCAATTCTTGTTCATGTGCCTTCTAAGTTCTTACTAAAGCTATGAGATTGATTATATTAATTAAATATTACAACTATTTTGTTCTGTGTAACAAAATACACCTCACATAATGCATTGCAATGCAAATTTTTGAGACTGATTTTCTTTCTTATGAAGTACACATTATCTGTTATTTATTTCCAGTTTCCTGGCGACTTAGCGAATGTGCTGATATGTGCTGGCTGTCTTGGTTCTCGTAGTGACGATTTTAATGAAATTGTTGAGTGTGATGGCTGCGGGGTCACTGTGCATGAAGGTATAATTTTTATCATAATAGAACTTTTTAAGGCATAGTATTTAAGTAGCAAAGGTGGCTTATCAGGACCACTTATGCCCTACATCACTGTGAGCAGTAATTTGATCTATTATGATTATCACCAAGTTTTTCAAATGGAGAGTTACACAACTGTAGAATTTTCTGGACTTCAATTAGTTTCATCTCCTCTGTCTGAGACATAATAATTACCAAAGAAGGAATTACGTATCTGCATCAAATGGCAAAAATGGGACACATTTGTTTTATAATTTTGTTTATCTTCGTGACAGATGGCGTAACTTTCGGCCTTGTTTAATACTCTGCTATGGCATATACTATAAGTTGTAGGTAGCCAAGTAGGTAAAGCATTAAGGCAGTGGATTCTACAGCCTAGACTTGATTTCCTGTACAATCAATCCAGGAAACTAACTTGTCAAAATTAATTCTTGTCTGGGTACTTTGGGTAGCGCCCCTAATTAATCAATCCTTTGGTACTTATCATAGTTTATTCCATACTTTTAGAGCAAATATTCCAACAAGATCAATAATGGTGGTGGACTCGCATGTAATTATAAAAAAAGCAAAATACTTTATTTTGTTTGAAAACGACAATGTTGAGCAGGCTTATGAAAAATCAATATTGGAAGTTGATCTTTGTATATTGGTTGAAATAAAAAACAAAATTTTAGGTTGTTATGGTGTTTCTGATGTGACAAGTGAATCAAGTACAGTCAGTTGTGCGTCAACTGAGCCATGGTTCTGCGAGGCTTGCAAGGCTGGTGTGACTGACCCCAATTGCGAACTTTGTCCAAACAAAGGTATGACGCTGTAACAGGCAGTTTTAGTATTCGTTAATTTTAGATATTTGATTTATATATACTCAAAAGCATTTTGACATGAGCATTTATAACATGCATGCATTGTCCTAATGCATGTATGAGATTATGTTTGATTGGCGTCTTTTTTAAACAGTTCTTACGTCATAATGTACATTATGACGTTCTTATGACTTATGATGTACTTACATCATAATTCACATACAAACCAATGTTTATAATATTATGGATTAAAAAAACTTTAATTTCTAATATTTCGTGATTTTCGAAGTTTTTGCCCTCTCGTCAGGAGAGACATATGTTTAGAAGTGTGATATATATCGGTTGATTATGATGACAGTCCAATATACTTTCGACGACATACCATTTTATGAATTTCAAATGTGTTTCAGGGGGCATTTTTAAGGAGACGGAAGTAGGAGCCTGGGTGCATTTAGTGTGTGCGCTTTATGTGCCTGGTGTTGCATTTTCTGAGGTATGTTAACAATAACGAGGATAGATATTAAGTACTGTGTAATGTGATCGTCGTAGAACAGGGTTCTGGATCAGGGATCTTTATTTAAATGGATATGAGTAGATAGGGTAGAATGGTCTTTTAAGTAAAAACTCAAAGACGTGGAGGCTTCTTAAGTTGTAAATCTTTTGGTCCTTAAAAGAATTATTACACAATCAATCACTTTCAAAAATGAATATAAAATTTTCGCTATTTTGTTAGAATTTCAAGGTGCCACCAAAGGCTTCATACCTGTCACTGAAAAAAAAAAAAAATGTATTTACTATACAATAAACAGTTACCTTTTAAAGTCCTTGGTTGCATTACATCAATCAAGTAGTACAGAATATAAACCCGTAGGCAGTTTAGTTTACTTTCAAATTTAAATGTAACCAGGTGGAACGTCTATCCGGTGTGACATTATTCGAGATGGCATACTCCCGCTGGGGCGCTCGATCATGTGCTCTTTGCGAAGATACAACACTCGCTCGCACCGGCGTGTGCGTCGGCTGCGACGCTGGATTGTGCAAGACCTTCTTTCACGTCACCTGGTAATTTTTTTATGGTATTGAAACTTGCAAACATACAGGCGGTCCACCTGATGATGACCACCTATAGATATTATGTGCACTAAGAAAGTATTCTTAATAAAGCAAATTCATCGTGACCCCTATGTACTTTCTCCTAAAGTCTTGCCTTTTAATTTAGTAACAAAACTAGTTGTGCTAGTAATTAACTTCTAACATAATTATACTATTATATGATATGGGTTAAAATTGATCTTTATCAGACTTATAATAAAGTAACTTTTTATTAATTACATCTGTTAATCTCTGTGAAAGAAGATTTTTAAATTATTCAATATGGGTTAAAATTGATCTTTATCAGACTTATAATAAAGTAACTTTTTATTAATTACATCTGTTAATTTCTGTAAAAGAAGATTTATAAATTATTCGATATGGGTTCAAATTGATCTTTGTCAGACTTTTAATAAAGCAACTTTTTATTAATTACATCTGTTAGTCTCTGCAAAATGAAAATGAAAAAAAAAACGAATGTCACTATAGGCAAAGTACACGACATGAACCCCTGTATGCATTGTGTTTAATTATGACGTCAGCAATCTACTTCTATTCAACTCGTATAGCTAACAAACCTTAATTTTTCGAAATTGATTTGCTATGCTTCAAACTTGTTTATGATAAAACATGGCTAATTTTTAGAGACGTACCGATCAATCGGCCATTTTCATAGTCGGCCACTAATTAGTTACAATAATCGGCCTGCGAAGACTCGCGCAAGTCCAATCGCGTGAGGCCATATAGCGTGTGAGTGAGACAGAACATATAGCACGCTGTGTTGCGCTTATACTATTCGGCGTCATCAAAGTAAAACCAAAAATATATCTATCTAACGTATTTATGACGTAATTATGCCACCATGCTCATTCAGAATGTTTAAATACAGACTTATTACTATGAAATATTATACGAAAACAGAGGTCGTCACATACTTTCCTTTCTACTTAAAGGGTTAAATTAACTGATTAAAGGATTAAGTAACTATTTTCTTATAATAGTGGATGTACTGGCGAAGGAGGAAATTGGACCAAATTTATAACATTGTAAAGTCGTCACTCGTGTGGATACATAATAATTGCACAATAAATGGAATAAAACTCATAGTAGCCTAACATTACATATTATAATCTTATTATATTGTATTGTATAGACCCATATTTTATATTATTATTTATTTGTCAATTATTAATCATCAAATAAATATTTGGAAATTAAAAATAAACCTATCTATCTAGAATAAAATGTTACCATTTGGTACCACGAGTAATTTTTTTTTTCTGATAACTTTGACAGTAATTGACAGGACCGATTTATAATTAAAAAATAAATTAACAATGGTCAACAGGACCGATTATTCGGCTAGTGGACCAAAACTGTAGTTGGAGCATCTCTAATCTGATTTGTTTACTTATTATAAAAATATGAATTCTATTTAAATTTCAGTGGTCAAAGAGAAGGGCTATTGGCCGAGGCACATTCGGAGGAGGTGGAACAAGCCGATCCGTTTTACGCTCATTGCAGATTGCACTCTGATAAAACTCTCGTCAAGAAACGTAAGAGAAACTGGCTTGCACTGCAATTGAGGACTGCTAAAAGGTATTTTAAATGTAACAAAATACGCAGTTATCGGCCTGCTTCAAATTAAAATAATACAGAACAAACAAACAGCAAAGATGCACACTGGGGTCCTTATTGCAACATAGGGGCCTTCTATTTGATCGCTAAGGTGGAAGATGTTCGTGATTTTGGTACACGTTTATGTAACGCGAAATCTTCTCTGGCTCAGCAATTAAAAAAATATTTTAACGTCTGTTATAAATACGCTTCTTATTTATATTCTACACTATTTCTCGCCATCGAGTTATTTGAAGGGTGCTTTATTTATTGATTTAAGTTTTATTATATTGTACAATACAATGAAGTACAAATGCCACAAATGACTTAACGCTATAACAATGAAAGTATTCAAAAAGTTTGTTTGTTGCTTACTCGGTATAACTTCTTTCAATCAATACAGTATTTTGACAAATTGAATACGTTTATGTGTCGCCAACCGGTGTGAGCGTATTGTAAGGGCCTATTAAAATAAATTGTCACAAAAAAGTCTTACATTTACATTTCAGAAAAATAGAGTTGCAAAACGACCTAAGTCCTGAAGAGAAAGCGAGGATTCAGCGGAAATTGGTCAAATACACGAGGAAATATCTACAACAAAAAGAAAATAGGAACCCTCCTTGGGGTAGGTATCAAAATGAGAAATTTTTACGTAAAAATTGCTGTTAAGTTATATGTGAAGTACATTTACCTTATAGTAATGAAACTAACGTTTATGAACTACTAACCAGCAAGTCATGGTACATATTGCACACCGGTTCCAACTCTAACACAAAAATGGCAAATGTGGGAAGTGAAATATGACTTATGTTTTCAAATAAACATCGTACTGAACAGTCGTCAAGTGACATAAACCATTACAAACTGAGTTGACATAATTAAAAATAAAGACATGCAGAATTTATAATTACGATTTTTTACTTGTGACATTGATAAGTGGTATGCGATTATTACTAATCTAGAAATCGAGATACACATTACAATATGTTAATTTGTTTGTTTAGTGCCTACGCAGAAAATGGCTCGAATGTTGTACAGCAGCGCATCAGCCATGAGGAAATTCCAAAGGAAAGCTGAATGTATGGGCGTTGACACACATGCGCTCGAGTTTCAAGATGCACAGGTATTATTGGCGTAATTTGTATTACACTAAATTAGCTTGGAAGTAGTTTATGTTTTGTAAATGGCCATGGAAATAAATGAATTCCTTTATAATATGAAATATAAGAAGTCAGTTTTGTCCTTGTAATATTATTCAAATATTGATTATGAGTTAAATTTTTTTTGAAAAATGGTTGGTAGCTGTAAAGGTGCCTAACTGGATGACCAAATACTTTTATAGATTTTTCATAGATGGCGCCACGGCTAAAAAGTTGTTAAAAACCAGGTACAAAGATCCGACAAACAAGCACATAGAAAAACTCGTGTGGCCCGCCGGTTCGGTCCGTGGCTTAGTTGGCATAGCGTCTGCCACGGTTTGCTAGAAGACGTCAGTTTGAATCCGGCTCTAAGGAATTTTTTCTAAGTGTTAATCTTTTAAGTAATAATAATTATAACAAATTGTCTAATAATTACTGCACCTGTTAGTCAGGAGATGAGCAATATCATGTGTTTTCTTTTCTATACTTAAAAGCAAGGTTCCAATTAATTGTATAAATATCAAGACAATAATCATTGATAATCTTCAAGGTAACTAATTATCAATCATAATTATCACTTGGAACCTTGCTTGAAAGCGAATGGAGTGTGATATACTACATGATTATTCTAGATGGCAGCTTTAAAGGATGTCTCCCGTCGTTGGCATGTCCCACCTGCGTTTTCAGTGGAATTCGTCGGGTACTACTTGGAGAGGAACAGCCGTGTGACGTCACTGCGGCGATCGCTCGAGCGTCTTACGAAGGAGAACGAGAAGTTATTATCTGAAGATGAACATTTGAGAGTTGATTACGATGAGGTTAGTTATAAAGACATAATCACGCCTGACGTCAAATGGGGTAGGCAGAGGCTGTGGACCTTAGTAAAGGTCAAGGTTTCTAGAGTGTGACATTTCCTGGGTTCGGTATTTTGACATCTGCAAAATCAATTACCATTAATCATAAACAATAAAAGTTATTATCAAATATATTGTACGTCCTGTACAGGCATCAGCAGAAAACACAGAAACACTAGCAAAACTGACGTCAACGCGACAATCCCTCCAGAAAACCTATGACGCAATCATAACGCTGTGTCCTAAGAAAACTGCACCGGCGATATTGGAGGACAAACCACTGTTGCCACCTGTCGTACAGCGGTCAACACCCAAAGTTACTCCGCAGCAGTTGCAGAAGCGGTATGGAACGTTCTTTATCATTTGTCGATGGTTTTTGTTTTTTTTATTTTAGCGAATTCAGCTCCGCTTGTGTATCTCCATCGCTGTATCAAAATTTCGTAGACTCCACGTGATTGGAAAATAGATTTAAAGGGGGTTACCTCTTTACATTTGTTTTCCACCCGAATTTTGCCTCACATGCATATGTATCTATAAAAGGACTTAACGGCAAGCTTAAAGTCCATTTTAGATACACGGGGAGCAAAGTTAGCGTGACAGAAAAAAGGGCCATTTGTGGGTTACACTTAGACTCTATTTACGTTGCCGCGGAACGGAATGCAAGCAAAATTTTGTAACCATAGCATGTTTAACCTTATTTCAACTGTAACGTAGAAACTATATTCGAGTGAAAAAACGGGTCGCGCGTCTTCAAAGGAATTCTCGTGCAGTCTCTCGAATCATCGTTTCGGGTATCTAGTTTGTACGTCACACAATTGATATAAAGTTCATTATTCTATAATTACTAAAATTCGCTTCCATTCCGTCCCGCATAATGTAAATTGAGTCTGACGCTCATCTCTGTAACATTTGATTGAAGTATAGGCTGATAAGTTATTTTTGGACCCTGAATTGGTGGGATATTTAGTGTTCACATCAATGTTAGTGTAGGCATGGACCAATAACTCAAGAGGACTGCTGTAGTCCATTTGTTTATGTACTTAATTAAATGTAAACAATCTTGAGATGTTTATTTAAGTAATAAATTGTACTTGTGCTAGGAATTCCTGCTCTTCCTTATTCTAAACAATATCTAAATTGTGATTGAGTGATTCAGGTCAAGTAATACAGGCTTCAATTTGTAAAAAGAACAAGGAAAATAAAATTAAAATTAACAAAAGATGATGAACTTCAAAGTATAAAATGTGTGAGTTAGTGAGTGAGTGTGTGTATGTGTATGTGGGTGAAGTGTGTTATTTGTGTGGTGGTGTGATTGAATGAATAGAGTGTACATGGGTTTGCAAGTTTATAATATTTAATATATATATATATATATATATAATATATATATGTATAATACAACGATGTGTCAGTAACGAGTGAGGGATTTTGTGTTATATTTTTGATGTAGATTATTCTAGCACTTCTAAAAGACGTCCTGTATCCTCATAATCCAATGATCGTAACCACTTTGAGAGTGTAGATTTCAAATCATACAAGTTCAATAGAGATAAGAGGACTGTTGATTAAATTGTTTACTAGCAAAGGTGATGCGTACAGTTTGATATGGTATAATATTCATTCTACATATCGTAACTCAGAAGCCGCCTGGAAGTAGTTTATAATACGTAAATGGTCGTGGATATGAATTAATTCGTCTTAATACAAACAAATATTGACCATGAGCTAAAATTAGTTTCTGGACTTCGACTAATACGCGAGTCAATATAGATGCCATTGTGTGTTACGAATTGATTTATAAATTAACGCTAAATGCTACTATGGGTA